GTATTAATAGACTTGTCTACCAAGCCTCTTGGGACTGTTGCTACTGGCGTCAATTGCTCAGTCCAAGACCAAAATAGTCACTGGGAGCTTGCTGTCCGCTTGCCCTCCCAGCACTCGCGCCAACGTCTCCAGGGCTAACACCATCGCTCTCTTCCGACGTGATGCTCGTACTGTTCGCCCCAAAATCGTCGCCTATTCCGCCTAATCCGCCTAACGCACGATGCCCATTGCCCCGCCCTCTCGACGGCACATTGAGACGAGTAGAATCAAACGTGAAATGGGGCTGGCCCAACCCAGACTCTGCTGATGGGCTCTTCAGCTCCACAAGCTCCAGCGTGCTACGGAGCGTCGCACCAGATTCATCCAGAGCCATCAAAAACCGCGCTAGTTCTTTGCACAGCTCCCAATCACCTTCGTCTTTGGCACGTTGCAGTAAGCGCACCACCTGGTCTCCCGTCGACCGCAGCTCTTCAAACGTGTGAAGAACAAGTAAGTAGCCACCTGCAGTCTTGAGATTACCTTTTTGGAGCGATTCTTCGAATAGCTCTTCCGGCGGTGGTAGATTCGAGAACAGAGTTCTCCAGGAGCGTACTTCAGTTTTGCGCGTACATTGCACCACGATATCAAGGTACTGTGGGAACGAACTCAAAAACGATAGTACGCTCGGTAAGAGGGCTTGTTCAAGTGGCGGTTGTGTGTCAACCTCTTCGTCCAATACTTCGTGCAGTAAGATTTCCAAAGCATGAGGAAAGTACAGCAGATGCTGGTAATGATGGCTGAGATGTAGAGCCGCAGGGTGATTGAACTGAGCCAGGTGAGAGCGCAGCAGTGCGGGAAGGAACAAGTGGGTCTACCACACATGTCAGCAAGGCATGAACACAGAGAGACGGAACAGCTTACCCTCGTTCCGAAGCGCAGGAAGGCAAAGTTTGTGTCTCTGCGCTGGATCAACTCCGACTCAACACCAAATACTATGGCTTTATTGATCAATGCGGATAGCGGGTAGAAATCGACCGGAATCTGCACAGGTGTAGGCAGCTCTCTGCCTATCTCAGGAGATGCAGAAGCCAGTACATCTTGCATATCGATCCACACCCGCATATCTTGGCCATCAAAGAACCACAGTGAATCGCGCAAATCATGGCCATGCATACCCTCCATTGTGAGTCCTACTAAAGGGCTTGGCGGTAGGGAGTCGGCTTGCTTGTCCAGTGCAAACGCAGGGTGGTCGCGCATGAGTGCATACGTCTCTACGTTCTGCGCAATGATACGCATTTCATACTTGAGCCCGCCGACTTCTGTTGTAGTTGGCTGCAGTAGCACAAGTTTACCATCCACAAGGAACAATATTGTGGCAACCGACACGTCTTGCGATGGGTCTCCGCTGTCTAAGCCACGTTAGATTCTGTAGAACCATGCTCTGAAAGAACTTACGCATCTGGTCTTCAGGCAAAATCCAGCTGAGTGCTCGCACTCGCGGAGGCGCACGGATAATACCGTGCAGTGCAATTTGACCAACTTGAACTAGTTTGACACTGGCATCTGCGACACTGATAACGTAGTGGTACAAGACGTTTTCGTATGTGTAGACCAGGAGCGAATCCTCTCCTGAGGGCGCAATCAAAACTATTGGTGCAGGGAGCTTCTGCACATGCATGATGCGGCCTTTTTCCAGAGCCGCCTCGCGAGAATACACTCGAATCTAGGTATGACCAAGTCAGTATGCGTCAGCAAAACCGTCCCACATTCATCGTACCTCGTGAGATTCTTGGCATTCAACCGCTGCAATCAGAACATGCTGAAACCAGCACATTCCTCCTCGAACAATAAACTCGTTCTCGCCAAACGGATCGTCAAACATTTTCCATCGTCCGCTATTCACACTGTAATGTGCAAGTCCTCTTTTCCCTGCGATTGCGACGTATCGCCCATCGTTTGAGATGACTGCACTTCTGATTGGCCACTGGTCGACAAGATAAGCCGCAGGGACCTGTACATGATGCCACAAAGAGACATCAGCCGATATGGTCGTGAGGTCTGGGAGGTCGTAGCCACGATAGATCATGAAGCCAGTGCTGGTCTGCATCAAGGACCGTGATACATTGGCAGATGAGAAGCAACCAGTAACCGCGCTTCGAGCCATTTCCATGGTATATAGACGATTATCGTTGTTGGCCAACATCAAGAGCTCAGCTCCCCCGCCGATCCAAAAGGCTTCCTTGATGCCAAGAAGCCAACCTTCTTTGTTTGTCTCGGAGAGCGTCCTGTCTGCGGTAAAGCTAGTAGCACCGGGTTTACCGTATACACTCCACATTGCCCAGCCGTTTTCGTAACCAGCAAACAGACAGTACCCATCTGGCGAGTAGGTCAAAATAGTCAACTGCCCAGGCGATGTCACATTCGGACGTAGCTTGTGCGAGAGAGGAATGTTGCCTGTGTAGTCTTTTGCCGTATACACATATATCTCGCCACTGGCGCTGCCAACCGCAAGTAGAGAGAACCGCGCATTGATCGCAGCCTTGATTCCTTTGTCCGCATCTACCTCGGGCGTGTGGAAGCCATGGCCACGGAAAAGACTGGGATCCTCGCTATCCTTTTTCGCGACTTTTTGAACAGCAAATGCCTGGCCATCATTTGTAATCCAACAGGATATGTTCATAGGTCGATCATGAACCAAATCACGTAGTGTCGTCTTTTTTCCAATCCACGCCATCTTGGATAACAACTCGGTGCTTGTTTGATTTCCAGTGCTGTCTGGCGCCCATCGAATGCATTGTATAGCAGCAGGCTTCTCCGTTGCAACAATTAATTCCTCGTCTAGGGCCAGGGCTCGTATTATCCCAGCATCGACCCGTATAACCATGCGGAAACGCAGGCTGAGCTCTCTCAAGCCATTGCCCTCTCCTGGCCCCGCATTGGCCTCATGCTGCCGTTGTATCTTGAAGCCAGTGATTGCACTGCTTCTTCTCGCGTGTCCTCCGTGTGTGTTTGTGAATTGGGTTTTGTAGACACGCGAAGCACGATCTGTCGCAAGGGAATACGTAATCAAAAATCCGAGCGTGGTTTGTACGACGAATATCTGAGAATCGGGGCGAACGAGCACATCGGTGTTGGGGCCGTATGTTTTGACGGATTGTTCGGAGCGTAACACAGAAGCCAAAACAACGGTAGGCTATGGGATGTATCAGTGAAGGCCGACCAAAGAGGCAAGCACATGGTACCTTTGTCTGCCAGACTGTGAGTGTTGTTTTTGTGAGGGTTGCAAACAAGTGACCACTCCTAGTCACTCTGATAGCAACAATGGTTCCATGGATATCGTCCTCTACCGGCGGACTCGGAGCAGCTTGTCGCGACAGCTCCCCATCTTCCTTCTTTTCTGCTCCGCTTGTATTGTTCGTAGCCTTCTTTTCCTTTGGCTGAGACTCTGCAACACGGTCTGGTTCGGTGTGTTGGTCGCCTGATTGCTTGCGCTCTAAGCCATCGTTGGAGACATGTGGGCGCCCTAGGTCCGTACGTTTAGTAGCCGCGAAGACGGAGGGCGACGAGATAGGCCAATACGTCATGGCGCTTTACCGCAAGCGATGGCTGCATTTGCGCGCGCCCACCTCACTGCGGGGATGTGTGCTTCACGAAGCTCATGCTAGCTGGCTAGATGCAGGGTAAGGTGGCTGTGGTGTCTGATGTTGAGCTTGATGGTCCACGCGAGGCGCAGCACCAGTCCGGCACAGTTGTGGCTGCCCGGTCCGTGCTTAGATAGGACAATCAACACAGCGATAGCAAGGGTCAATCAAATTGGCGGGGTTGCACATCCCATGTTTTTTATGTTTGTGCTACCTCAGGGCTCCCGGCGCAGTTAGGAAGGTGGTATTGCAGGCATGACTGCAAGAAGTAGCCGGCAGCCATTAGAGCACTCTCGAATGGATGATGTTCGCACTCATGTGCGCGTAGGCGCTGCAAAAGCTTGCGGCCGTCATATTCTAAGATTTCTGGGGAGTGCAAGAAGGCCAAAGTAGTTTACCAGTCCACAAGTCAACAGAGCACACCAATCATGTTTTCTGAGAACCTTGAAATACTGGATTCATGATAACTAGAATCTCTGTCATATGTTTACTCTGTGTCAAATTTTCCAATTGATACGTCAACCATGTTTGGGGAATCCCGCGCGATATCGAGAATGATAGTGTTGAAGGAAGTGTATTGAGCTTGGCGAACGTAGGGATGCCCAGTACCAAAAAGGCCATGCAGCCTGCCTTTTTCGTTTTCTAAGATTTCCACTGACGATATTTTGATTGCATTTGCCCAAACTTCCATCAAATCCTTTACGGTGAGATGGCCGAGTTGGTTATGGCGCCAGGTTAAGGTCTTCTTAACATCATATTCCTGGTCACGAAAGTGGCGTGGGTTCGAGTCCCACTCTCATCAGCATTCGTCTGGCTTCAGTCAGATACCCCAGGTTCTTTTTTTGCAGGTTAATCAGCCTGTATGGCAGGGTTGCGTGGGTTGTGTCATGGCGACAAAGCGTTATTTTTTACATGACCACAGAGATTGTGGGTAGCGCTGTTCGTGAGCATGTGGTTCTGAATTTGGAATTAAGATCTCGTCACAATGTCCTGCTATCCGTACTCGTTTTTTTTTCAATAATCTGCAGTTGATAACATAATTTCCGAAGCGGCAATGCAATAACAAGTAGGGATACAATCTGCAAGAAAGGCTGGTCTAGATATGGACAATCCTATCTACCCTTCTAATGTATTTCTCATCAGGGAAACCCGATCAAGGAATGAATTTCAAGATTTAATTGTCACATGTATTCTTACTAAAAAAATGTCCTCGTAATGTATAATTGCGTGCGCACCGAGAGCATCACCGATGACGTAGTACATACTTATCCAGGACCCTGCAGATCAACTCCCAAAAAATTACGCGCAACATCCTGTTCTGTACCAATAGCACCATCATATTTTGAGGGACGGGGAGAAACAAGCTTCAGGTCGTTGCAAATGTCGGGGAATTCCAACTCAGACATCTTAATTGTAAGTGACTGATTACCTTGTTGTAATGCATTCCTTGCATGCGCACCACTATACATTCATCTAGACTCGTAGTAGGTAGGCGACATATAACAAGGAATCATGAAACGAGATATTTTAAATGAATCGACAAGAGTATATGGTGATAATCCGAAGACTGACAAAAAGAAACTCTAGGCAGGCGCAATTGCAGCCTTTACAGTCGATCTCCTTGTGTATCCGCTTGATACATTGAAAACACGCATTCAATCGCCCAACTATGCAAAAGTGTATACGAATCCGCAGACGGGAAAGCCGAACCCGGCTTTGTTTCGTGGCGTATATCAAGGAATTGGTAGTGTGATAATAGCTACACTACCTTCATGTAAGAAACATGCATTCACTTCTACTCCCTTCATCATCTCTCCAGTCCTCCAAACATGAGCCCTCAAAAACTCTTAATCCCTCGTAAATCTAACTCCACAAAAAAGCAGGAGCATTCTTCACAACCTACGAACGCACAAAATCACTCTTCACCCGTCTAAACACCACCACCTCCCCTAACGGCCTCCTCCCCACACCCTTAATCCACGCCTCAGCCTCCTCCCTCGCCGAACTCGTCTCCTGCGCCATCCTCACCCCCGCAGAAGTAATAAAGCAAAACGCACAAATGGTCTCATCTTCCTCCTCCACCACCTCCTCATCCTCAACAAACGCAACTCTCCAAACCCTCTCGAAATTCCGCTCCAACCCCCTCGCCCTCTGGCGCGGCTACACCGCACTCGCAGGGCGCAACTTACCTTTTTCAGCAATGCAATTTCCGCTGCTAGAACGCTTGAAAGAGGCGATAAAGCAGCACCGCGATGAGCGCGGATTAACACGCGGTACGATTGTGGAGAGCGGGTGTATTACTGCGTTTAGTGCGGGCACGGCTGGGGCTGTGGCAGCGGTGATTACAACGCCGATTGATGTGGTTAAGACGCGGATTATGCTCGCAGCGGGCGAGGGACCGGGGGAGACGAAGGGTGCGGAAGGGAAGGCGGCGAAGGAGGGGATTAAGAGTGCGGCGAAGGATTTGATGCAAGGGGGTGAGGGGGGAAAGAAGAGTAGTTGGGGGATTGGGAGGGAGATTGTGGCGGAGAAGGGGGTGAAGGGGTTGTGGAGAGGTGGTGCGTTGAGGGCTGTGTGGACGTTTGTGGGTGCGGGATTGTATTTGGGGGCGTATGAGACGGGGAGGGTGTATCTTGCTAGTCGGCGAGGCGATGAGATTAGTGAAGAGGATTTGATGTAGATGTGATTGTTGGGCATGAAAAGAGATATGACATGTCTTTACGTAGAAACAGAACACCCGGGCTTTAGACAATCTCAGATGAAATGAATGTTCCATATCGTATGATGTTTGAATTATTTTTTTTCATTCATGGCTAACAGTACTTTTTTTCTTCTACTGTCCATAAAATATCTATCTCCACTGTAGACCTATACAGGAGAAAGGGAGAGGAAAAAAAGGGGGGTATATCTACATGTCACGTCGTAAGCCTGGTCCCATAACACCCCAAGAAAGAAATTCGCCCAAAACCTACGGGGAAAGGAGCATACTGCTACTCATGCATTCCGTCTCTTTACCTTAAAACGCCCAGAATCTCACTTTTCGTTAAATCATGCCATAGCGTAGACCGCTCTTCAACCAGAAACAAGACGATGGACAAAAGAAAACAAACTCCCACGTCAAACGACTACAACTTAGTGTCCTGTCTGTTTGTATCGCTGAGGCGTCGGAAGGGGCCTTGAGACATGACACTAGGGCCGGGCCTAGTGCCAGTGGCGCGCGTTGGGTTGCTGCCGCTTGCAGTTGCGGCTGTGGTACCTGGGGTTCTGGAGTTGCCAGCGGCATTAGAGCGTTGCTGGAGCGTCGCGCTAACCACCCACTGCAGATGCATGCGCATATTGCTGATAGCCGCGTTGACGTGCAGCATCTCGTCTTTGGTGCGCTGGCTCTCGTTGATGATCATCATGTTTGTGCGCCCGTCGAGGTCGGTGAGGGCATTGGCGATGCGAGATACTTCCTCGCGGAGGGAGTCGTGTAGTGTGAGTAGATGGTGGATCTGTGAATCGAAAGGTGGTTGGGCAGCGTTGCCATCGGTTGTGGGTGGAACTGGTGGAAACGAGGCTGGTGGCAGCCGGAAGTCGGGGGTTGGTGCTTGAGGGTCAGTGTCATTGGCATTCAAGGGATCCGTGACTGGGAAAGAAGTATCGTTTCCATTGGCGGGGTACAGATAGTTTGTGATGTTGGTGAGGCCGTCTTCGAGGATGCCAACCTTCCTCGTGAGGGGCTCCATACGCGCTTCATTCCTCTCAATCCTGGCTTGCTGCTCGCGGAAGTGAGGCGCCATTGTTGCCATTGGACAAGCGGCTTCATGCGCGATGACTTGGGCACGCTCGGCGTGGAACTTGCAGCCCACAATTGTTCCTTGGCATGAGATAACATGCTTGGGGCAGTCGTTGTTAATGTGAGGCTTGAGGTCTAGACGAAGCACTTCGGCCGAGCATAATGTGCAGGATGTGATGCGATTTGCGCAGGAAGTTCGCTGGTGCTCCTGTGTGACAATAGTAAGTAGCCGCCGCATAGGCATAGTCATCGACCAGACTTACCTCGAGATCCCTCTTCATGAGCGAAGTATGACAGTCTTCACAGCTCACTGTGTAGTGCAGACAACCTTTGTGGAAGTCTTTCTGGGTTGTAGGCAAGCGGCAGTCTACTGCTGAACACATGACGGGAGTGTATTCGCAATACAGCATGACGTGGTCGCGCACGTTGACACGCTGGGCCTGCCAGTTGCAGCCAGCCTTTGTGTTTGGACATTTGACCACCAACTCGTCAAGCATAGTCTCGACAATCTTGGGCACTGGGCGTATATCCTGATCCGTCTCGACAGCATGGCGGCACGTGGGACAGGTTCGGCGGGTGTGTTGCTGGGGCGCCCACGCATGGTCGAGGCAGTCGCGGCAAAAGTAGTGTTCGCACGACAGCTGGACGGGCTTATCAAAGGGTGTGTGGCAGATGAGGCAGACGAGGTTGCTGTCGGGTTCGGTGAGGTATTCGAGGTTCTGGAATTCGGGCGGGACCTTGACGATGCGACTCTGTCGGCGCTTGGATGAGGGTGAGTTTGACACACGAAGAGCCAAAGGCGAAGGACTGCCAGGAGGGCCACCGACCGTCATTCTCTCATCGTGCTCGTTGGCGGCGCTGGACGAGCGCGACGACCGCCGGTCTGCTGGAAACGGGATAGGACCGGGCGAAGGCATGGCTGGGGGCGGCGGCGGGGATAGGCTGGAGAGGAGGAGGATAGGTGGTGGCAGTAGCGGAGTGGGCGGTGGTGGGGGTTGGAGCAATGTAGGGCCTGGCGCGTGGTTTTATTATCTCCCAAGCAGGGCAGCGCCAGAAGCAAATATCATGGATGGCGGTCAGGAATGCACATGGTCCCGAAACTAGAGGGAGCATGCGGGCAATGGGTGTACATGGTAACTTGATCCTCGTCCCCGCCAATCGGGCGTCTCCAGCCCCCGGCCACGTGCAGGTGGAGCGGACTTGTCGTCAGCGGTCCGCTCCTAGAGGCAGACCAGAAGCACCAGCCTTGTCTCCACCCGCCCAACCATCATCCCGTGCATTAATTCCGTCCGGCTCTCTGGCGCGGGTGCCTCAGGTCGTGGTATTATTATATCACCCTCCAGCAGCATTGACGCCCTTTGCTGGTTCCCGTAGCGCCGCATCCCGCGCACCCGGCAACCACCAGCCATCCACCAACCACTACCATCATCACCATCACCATCAACACCACCACCACAACAAGCAACCATGGCTACCAATCCTCCCCAGCTGTTCCTCCTAGCCGACCACATCAAACTCTCCCTGCTCGAGCGCCAACGCGCCCTCTCCCTCAACCTCCCCTCCAACAGCCAGGATGGCCAGATCTCGCGCTCGCTCGAGCAATTGCGGTCCGGCATTGAATCCCTTGAGTCGCAAGTCGAGGACACATCAGACGAGTAAGCAACCCAACTCACACACCCCCCTTGGCTGGATCCATACCGTATATGCGCCCTTCATCTTGCCAACACATGTCCCGCCTCCTAGATCCATAACATCGCAACTGCCCCGCCTACGCACCCAACTAGCCGAACTCAGCGCGCAGTTCGACCATTCCGCCAGCGCCTCGTCATCCTCGTCGTCCGCCACCCTCACAACCCCCAACGACCCATCTCTCGCCTCGGACTTTAGCGCTGCCCAGAAGAAGTCCACCACCACCACCAGATCATCCAAATCCGTCCGCTTCACCGACGCAGAAGACGACGACAATGACGCCGCCAACCGCGCAGCCCTCTTCCCTTACCGCGACGACCCTTCGTCAGATGCCGACGCCGCACCCGACCATTCCCACCTCGATAACCAGCAGATCCACGAGTACCACAGCCAAGTCCTGCGCGACCAGGATGACCAGCTCGACCGCCTCGGTGCCAGCATCGGCCGCCAGCGCGAGCTTAGCATGCAGATTGGCCAGGAGCTAGACGACCACGTCATGCTGCTTGACGATGTCGAGGAGGGTGTCGATAGGCACCAGGCCCAGTTCAATCGCGCGCGTGGTCGCCTCGATCGCTTTTCCAGAAAGGCAAAGGAGAATTGGAGTTTGACCGTTATTATCGTGCTTATTGTCATTCTTGTGCTGTTGATCATCATTACAAAGTAGAGAGTTGCCTTTTTCTTTTCTTTTCTTGTTTCTTTCTCTTCTAGAAGACTTATTCTGCCAATAGCATAGTAATGGCGTTTTTTTTTGAGGGGGACTGCGTGGGCAAATCTACTCGTAGTCATTTTTTTCACCAGTGTTATCTTTTTCTTCTATAGACACTTTCATCATCTTTGTAGTAACAACACATCCACTTATGTGCAACTAGCAATACTTGGTCATTCTTCTCCTTGGTTTATTTTGCTACATGTTTGCCTATTCCCCCTTCAAAGGCTCATGCCGCCTGCATACCCAATACTCTTTTGTACCCTTCAAAATGTTTGAATAGAATAGTGATTGATGATGCTGCAACTTATACCATGTTTGCAAGCTAAAGGAGGGGGTATCATTGTCTTGATATATGCAAACGAAAAATAAACTGTCTCTCTCCTTCTCTTCCTCTCCATCAAGTTGCTTGTAGGATCCTAGGATTCCAAATGTGTATTAGACTAACACATGACTTCTGCCTTGGTGTGCCTCTAGGGTACGGCTACGTGGCCATTCGCCCACTCATGTGGTCAAGCCTTGATCCTTCATAGCCGAGCACTTCACAGTGTCGGGTAGCCCAAGGCCTTCATTCCCCACATCCGCTCATGGCAGGCCAATGGTCTTTTTCGACTTGTCATATACAACGTACGTGATTGAGACAGCAGGAACAACCTTGAGCAGGTTCGGTGTGAGGCCCTTGAACAGTCCCCTCACACCCTCACCAGCAATCGTCTGCCTCGTTACGTCCATAATACCAGTGTACGTCCTGGGATGCAGCACAGTACCTTGGCTTTGTAGTCGTGTTCGGAGGAGGTTGAGCGGATAAACGGCACTGGCTCCAAACGCGCCAGAGAATCCACCAATAGCTGCCGTCATGAAGCCGCCGGGTTCCGCGTCTTGCTCGTGGCATCCAAGCCTCTTAGCATTGCGCCGGGCCACGTAGCGTTTGAGGTACTCAAATGTGCCCAAGTCAAGTGCCGCATACGGAAAGATGCCAAAAATGCCCATGGGTAACCCACGGTAATATGCGGCAATGCCGCCAGTGGTCCACATCTTCTTTGCTGTGGCCCAGATTAGGCGATTACCATGTAAACCGCCAGAGACAGTCTCGCATTGCATGCGGCTGTAGATAGTTAGCTTGTTATAGTGCCTAACAATTGATGTTTACCCACAATTTCAAGGTATCAATGGGATAGACAGCGAATTGTGAGACCATTCCTACAACTGTTTAGCTTCTGCATCTTCAACACACCATCGTGGCACCTACCAGCAAGACCTCCAGCGACGAACTTTGACCACGAGTGTATGATTGCAGGGTCATTATGTCCTTCGATCTTAGCAAAGATGCGTTTTGCAGCCTGGGCAAGTTAGGAGTGCGTTGTGTTTACTTTCAAGTATATTTACCTCGTAAGAGCCGAATTTAATGGCTGATTCTGGCATCACCTTGACCACGTTCAAGCCATTGCCTGGCATGCCTTGTCAGTCTAAGCCAATTGAAGGCTGTCTGGAACACCTACCAGCGTACAGACTACGCATGCCGCCAGCCTGCCATAGCTCCTTGGTGGCGGTCGCAAGTGGTCTCCAAGCGTTCATGGCAGCCTTGACAATGTTGCCATGTTTCGCTGCGACGACGGCTTCTTCCGCCACACTAGTCTGGGCTATGAGGTAGACTTTTAAACGATCGAGGGGAGCAGTAGAGGTACGAGAAACAATGCCTGCGATGCCTCCCGCCACGAAATAGCCTGGATTGGGAACACAAGCAATCAGCATGGTTCCTAAGCTCTCTATGATGCCTGCCTGTATCTCTTTGACAGAAGACTTGGTCTTCTCGTCATCAGATCGTGGCGGGAGGGTGTCTGGGGAGGCAAGCGCCGAACTCGAAGGTGATTCCACATCGAGCGGCGCGTGATGTTCTGGTGCAAGGGGTTTGTAGGGCGGTGTATGCGCTACAAGAAATAGGGAACCAAATAGAAAACGAAGAAAACGCTGTGCAGTACCTAAGCCTTGGATTGTGTCATCACTTATAAGGACATCGCCCTCTTGGTTGACTTTCATCGTGGCGGAGAAATAGGACATGACGGCGCCCAGCGACGGCTCACTGACGGGTATGAAAAGAAGAAAGTCCCTTTTGAGCCGGTCAGCATACTTGCGCAGATGCCAGGCTTCCGGTAGCGGCGAAGTCAGTTACGTACCGCCATTCCTCGAAACTGATAACCCCGTCATTGTTCGTGTCTACTTCAGCGAAGAAGGTATCAAGGCTGCGATTGGGAACCGTGAGACCAGCGGTCCTCAATGCAGAGCGCAGCTCTTCCTTTGACAACTTTCCGTCGTGGTTGTAGTCGATAGTTTGGAAGAGGTGGCGGAGTTCTTTTTCGGTCTCGTGTACAAATGTGCGAAACTCTGCAAGGCAGCGGATCAGCAGGGCTCAGGTATTGCGCAGGTTCGTGTCAAGAGGACTGACCGTTGTATGAGATCCTTCCGTTTCCGTCTGTATCGACAGCCTCCATCACCTCATCCAAGAGCTGGTCCGCATTTTTTAAGGCTACAGTATCCTCTTAGCAAAAGGGACGAAAGTGCGAAGTGTCGACCCTTACGGTGATCCAGCTTTCGCAGGCCCTTTTTGAGACCGGCCAGGTCAAGGTGGCCCTGCTTGCGCGTGTCGAGTGTCGACCATAGTTTGTCCACCCTGGCGTCGGTTACGCTTGCGCTTTGTGTGTCCATTGTCGTCCTACTATCTTCGGTCTATCATGGCTGAGGTCGCGACACGCGAGGGAGGGCGGCTATCGACACCGGGACGAGGCAGATTACGGGTAGAATGACTGGCGGGTAGGATACAAGCTTGTAGGACTCGAACGTGGGGTATGAGGTCAGTCTCAAAGCTTGGAGAGGTTCGCTAAAAGAGGTTAGGCTGACAGACCGCGACGCCGAAGGAAGCCACGACAACCCCCGGCTTTAGCTCACACATGATTGGATCTGCATCCATACACAACTACCGCTTCTGTCCCGTTCCATCACTATCGTGCAAACTGCTCTTATCTCATGTATTGTTAGACGAGTCCTGTAAAAGTCAAAACTCCGCTGTGCTCGACCAGTGCTGTTATTCTGGTCTATTGTTGCCTCGTAACGTCGTACTAACCTTCGGCTTGACAAAAACACCAGCCGGGAGGACAGTTCCTCACAACCTCCTGTAACACATACTAAACAAATCAAAGAGCAAGGCGTACACCGTGACTCCCACAAATCCTTATATGATTATTTAGCACACACACGCAAAGACTTGGCAAAGCAGATATCCAACATGTCATCCAGCTACTGGGAGTCTACCCAGCGGAAGTTCTGGACGTTTACGAAGCAAGACCTAGCGCTAGAGCGAAAGCGAATGGAAGATGCAGAAAGAAATCTCGTTAACCTGTATCCCCTTCCGGACCGGAGACATCTGAGTATCTACTTCTCTCACCGTAAGTCTTTGTGCGGCGCGTCTGTAACCAGTGCTGATGTGTTACAGAACTGTCGAAGATGGCAAGGCCCCTAGGTGTCCGGCAGCAGGCCTTGGCTACTGCACAGGTCTATGTTCGGCGTTTCTACACCAAAGTTGAGATACGGCGGACGAACCCGGCGCTTGTGCTGGCAACAGCCTTGTACCTGGCCTGCAAGATGGAGGAATGCCCACAGCACATCAGGATGGTGCTGGCAGAAGCGCGGCACTGCTGGGGTAACATGATGACCAAACGCATACCGAAACAATTTCTGACAGTGTTACAGATACTTCGTTCAACGATGTATCTAAAATTGGCGAGTGCGAGTTCTCGCTGATATCAGAGATGAACTCGCAGTTGATACTCCATCACCCATACCGCAGCCTCGCTGAACTGCAAACCCAATTCCAACTAACGCAGGAAGAGAATGCGCTTGCATGGTCAATCATCAACGACCACTATCTCACAGACCTGCCTCTGCTGCACGCACCGCACGTGATTGCCATTACAGCAATGTTCCTAGCAGTCGTGTTGAAACCGATCGGCTCGCAGGTCAATGCAGTGGGGATGAACAACGCACTTCAAACGCTGGGCAACGCCCGAGGCGGGCAAGGAATGCAGGCGCGGATCCAAAAGTTAGTCGACTGGCTTGCTGAGAGCAATGTGGATATCGAAGCTGTTGTCGAATGCACCCAAGAGCTGATATCGCTGTACGAAGTGTGGGAATCATACACGGACAAGACGTGCAAAGATCAGATTGCAAAGTTTGTCAAGGCTAGAGGGCTTGACAAGTAGAGTAGGGGTTTACGGCTGTGCTGGGTGGGTTTCTAGAAGTCGAGTGTTTAGGACATGTGCGGATTATGCCTTGGATGGAAACATGGCGAGTGGATGGATGGATTGGGGGAGGTTTGATGTTTCGCAGGCCATAGCATGGAGAGTGACATAGATAGTGTGCACGAATCGCGCGACACGCAACACGGAACATTGATAGATGGGATAGTTTGTGGTGGCTTTGTGTATACAGCATGGCGTCAACGGCCGGCTTTGCTGATTCATCTCTCCATGAGCAAAGCGTGTGCATGCGCCACCAGCGGGCAGCAAAAAGGGGGCCCTTTCGCACAACTACTGCCCCGTGCGACGGCCAGGAGCAGGCCCTGTGATACTTTGATTCAACAAGGTGGTCAGCACCTAAAGTAACTAACTAGCGATGGAGCATTAGCTAAGCAGGCGCATGTAAGTACAGCAACAGGGTTCAGGCTGCTGGCGGCGTTTGCAGGTATATTGATCCAGGTCGGGTCGAGTTGCACTTGTCGAGCAGGGCGGGCAGGTCAGCAAATGAGCGTGTTTCGAGAGTGTAGGGCAGCGTTCATGCGTGTGGCTTGGCCTGTCACAGGCATGTTTTGCGCAGAGGGGACGCCAGACCAGGCTCCGCTGTGATGATCATGTTGCAGCGGACGCAGTGGTCGGAGGGTTGTGGCGAGACTGCTCATGCGAAGATGGAGTGAGTGACGGAATGCGCGAAAAGGACGAGTATGGTGAGTGCGGGCGAGGAGCGCCGATCGCTGTGCAGGCAGGTAGGCATAGGCTGCGCGCTCGGGCCGGACAGAACCAGTGAGCGCTATTTTGGTCTCGCTTTTTGCGCGCTGTGATTGGGCGAGGGGGGCAGACAGGCTACGAGTCCAACGTCACTCTCGTCCTGCCAGTGTTCCGAACAAGCCCGGGCCCCCCGTCCCGAGTATGTAAGTGTCTCGAATCTCGAGCGAGCGAGCGGGCGGGCGGGCGTGTGCGGCCAAGGGCGGGCGTGGTCGAGGGCGGGCGAGGGTGCAACGGCGTGAGTTTGATGGCTGTGAGCGGCTGGGGGTAGTGGCAGCAGCAGCACCAGTGTTTGCGTGCCCATAACCAAACAGCGTGAGGTGAGCGCGGGCATTCTCGACTCCCATAGTACGGCCAGCCAGCTGTGTGCAAAGCAGAAGCGATGTGCGCCCGCAGGGACTGTGCCTTGGCCACGGATCCCTGGAGCGCCCCCCTCAACCGCCATGCCAGTGCGTTAGCGTTGCACGCGCCCTGAAGTCGACGACGGAGAAGGGCTGCGGGATGCTTTTGCCGACCAACGCATCGTCGGGCTGGCAGCGTGCTAGGCTGCTAGCTGCTGGCGACATGCATTCCCCTGGCGACGATGTGCAAGTCGACTCTCTCGAAGAGGAAAATAGCGGTCAGGGCGCGGGCAGCGTTGGTCACTTGCTCAGCCTCGTTGGCGTCCTAGCGCAGTGTGTCGCATAAGTCTTGTTTGATAATGCGCCGCTTGGGGCTTGTTCTCCTGCGCAGTCGGTGGGCGCAGCCACCGGGGGGAACCTGTGCACGGCGCGGCGCTGCGCTGCGCTGCGCTGCTGTGCTGATGGTGCAACCTGGAGCCGGCGGCTCTCGAGGCGATCGCGATACTGGGCCTGCTGGGATCATGGCAGATGGGCGATGCTGCAACGGTGGAGGATGCTGGCCTGCTGGCTGCTCGCTGTCCACTCGTTGCCCGCCGCCCTCGACCCAGCCAGCGCCGTGTCCTGGGCCCCGGGCGGCGGCGCTTCCACTTCACCACGCTGCCATGACCTCGCCTTTGCAGCCCCAGAGCGGTCGCCCGGCCCATAGCGCTCGTTGGCCATGTCGGGCTAGGCCGCTTCAGGCACAGGGGGTGCGTGGTGGCAAATGTCGCGCCCAATCAACGGCGTGGGCCCATAAAAGCTCGCCGCACGGCCCCCCGCCCATCTCGTCTGACCCAGCCCGTTCTTCTCCAGCCCTTTCGCTCTTCTTGCCTCCTCGCACTCTCGCACCTCCGCTTCTCTCTCACACACATACATACATACATCTTCTCAGCCTCGCATCGCAGCTCCCCCATAGTTAATACCTGCTCACTCCCACCTCGACCGACTTTCTCACCTGCCTACCCCAACCCACCTCCATTATCCGAGCCAAGCCTCCTTTGTCTCACTTTGTTGTGGTCGAGCTCCCTGGACCGCACATTACAGCCCCTCACCCAACAACAGACCGACCCATCCATCGCCCATCCCCCCTCTGTCATCACCATGTCGCAGTTCTTCAACTACGGTGCGCAGCAGCACCACCCCCAGCACCTCAACGCCCACTCGCACAACCACCACAGCGGCCGCTCACGAAGGGCCCCCCGCATCTCGGCCCAGCAGCACAACAAGCAGTTCCGCCAAGTCCGCACCCCCAAGGAGTTCAACGTCGAGCCGCCCACGCTCATCGCATACAAGCGCGACTTCGAGGCCGCAAGGTCGTTTGACATCGAGGACGACGAGATGTTCTGCCCCTTCCACCTGCTTACCGAGGATGATGTAAGTCGCTTACCTCACGATATTTGCCACCCATCCCCTGTCGTCGAATCCGCCCCAACAAGGCGCTGACACTCGATGAACAGCTGCAGTCCATCCACTCGTCGGGCTCAGATCGCTCCTCGCTTTCCAGCGGATCGCCTGAGCAGTCTCCTCTGCAGCACCAGCTGCAGCCCACCCCTTCGTTTGTCCTGTCCTCGGCCCCGAACCCCTACACTCCCGTCGGCTTCCAGCAAAACAACTCGCAAACCAAGCTACACCAGCCACTAGCCCAGCGCACCCGGAATGCCATCCCCATTGTCGACCCGTCTACACGCACTGTTGCCAGCCCCCCACCAAGCGTCTCTCCCAACCGACAGATGCAGCAACAGTTCATGTCGCGACGCTGGTAGAGTAGAGTCTTGCTGGCACGAGACCAATTCATCTGTTCGGTCAGCATTGCAACTCCTCCTTTGTTGCCGGGCTAGTGGCTACCTGGATCCTTAACATCTCGCTCTCTTCTCGATATCCCCGGAGCCTCATCCACTTTACACGATCGATTCTCCCTGTATAAACAACGATATCTTCTTCGACATCTTGGGCTTAACCACTGAACCGGCCACGGCGTCGCAATTATAGTACACACATGATTTCCGGATAGAGAGTATTGGTCTCTTGCTTTCAAGCGCTAACGCATTCACGGCGGTCTGCACATCTTTGGTGTTTTTCTATTTCTGGGTCGCATTTCTCGGTTATTCTTATACCTTTCAAAAACTTTGAAAACCTTTGGTTACAGGCGTAGGTGTTCTATAGCGTTGCTGTTGGACACTGTTGTCGCCCGGCTGCCATTATCATGGCGCCCTACAAAGGGGTAGATTTCCTATGTACGGTTGGTCTCTGGGGTTTTCAAGCGGTGTCGGTATATACCATTGTTGGCGCGATCTTGCGAAGCGGCGGTGTCAAAGCGTGTTGTGGGTCATCGGTTTCTTGGGTGCATTAACATCTGTACGACGCTGGGATGATTCTACGCAGTCATTGGCGCAGGGTCGTTTTCGTTGGTCTCTTCTCCTCTTTTTTCTTTTATTTCCATTGTATGAGGATTTATACGACGCCCTCGACTGGGCGGTTTCGATCTCTTCTTCGATCTTTCTAGTATCATTTCTTCCTTGGGAGCTCGATTCTCCTCATACATTACACGCCTCGTTTTCGAGGGCAGTGAATCCTAGGAATGGAAACGCAACTTTGTTAACACATCAAAAACAAAAAAGTCTCAATTCGTGCTGCATCGTGATGAAGTCGAGCGAGTGAATGGCTACTACGTGGCTCACTGAGGTGGGCGGACAACGACGTAGCCCAGACCCGCCTACTACTATGGATAGAGCGACTGCTGCGCCCCTCATTCAACTCAGCCATGCACATTGGCGCCCCCCCACCATCACCAGAAGCTCATCCATGCTGCGGCTACCCCGTGGAGATGGACCGCATGCGCCACGTTCAACGCATTCAGGCACAAGGGGGGAAGCTCAGCCGACCGTGGTTCTTCTGCCACATTCACGAGCGGGGTGAGGGATCACCTGTGCAGCATCTGCAGCTACAGAAGCACCAACGGAGGCTTCACATCCATGCCTCCGTTCGTGCTTTCACAAGCACAAAAGCAAAACAACATTCTGACTAATAAGCGTCCTGCTGTTGGGGTTACTGTCCGCCGGGCGAATCGTCGTAATGGTGATTGCCGGCCGTGCAGCTATGATGTTATGACGTCTTCTCGAATGCTAGCTTTCCACTAACCGAGGAACCTATGTTTCCTCGAGCAACCATCCTTTCTTCTTGAGCATACCAGTTTCCAAGTTTGCAGCCCTCATCTGTACTCTTTTCTTTTTGATATAAAACTCATCCATTCTTCTTTCCATTCAAGCCCTCCATTGAACTCAAGGAATTGAATCTTGACGCGTCAAGCTAGATCATCAAAACCCCTCAACAAACGACCATTACTCCTCCGTCTCCGCTCTCAACAACCAAGCTAGCCATGTCTGCTATCCGTGCCTTTGCGACCCGTCGCACTCCATTTGTCTTTGTCCAGCGCGCAGCTTTCTCGCAGTCAACAGTCCGCTCCGCGGGCAAGGAGTCTGCCCTCCGTACGTCCACACCATCTTCGTCAGTCCGTTGTCAACAAAGCAGAGCACCTGCCGTCCAATGGCAATTAGAATAGCGAGACATAGCTAACGACCTTCCGATAGACAGCGAAAACCGTGCTGAAGAGATTGAGAAGAAGAAGCAGGAGCAACTGAAGAACCAAAAGGAGGGCAAGGCAAACTGGGAGGAGCAACTTGCTAGTGACAGCGAGAGCGCTGTATGTTTACCTGGACATTAAGTCACACGTTGGGAGACAACGATGTGGTGATATCAGAGCACTGGCTGACAAAATACACAGATCAAAGCAGACCGATCTGAGACGGGCAAGGACACCCAACAACAGATCAAGGAGCTCCAAGAAGAGGCCAAGAAGGTCAAGCCCGGCCACTAGTGGAAGAATTGAATAGAGTATGAGCCATTGAGAATATTGAGGATATGACGCCTACGTGGAGGCCTTGGGCAGAGGCCAACTAGGACCCAGTAGCACAGCCTGAGATGTGAGCTCTGGGTGGAAAAACAGCGACACAAAATAATGGGATGTCTTGTAATGTTTCAATGACATGATTTGCATTTACCTTTCTCTCTGTATGCCATTGTCACATGTTGCTGAAGCTAGCTACCTTTTCCCAAGTCCACCAGTACCTGATGTCAGACGATGACATGTGATATGGCTCTACGTTCCAACAGCAACTCACATACTTTACCAAAGAATCGCTAAGAATTTCAATTTCCACATATATATATTCTACCAAACAACCATTGCGTATCTAAACACAAAACGAAAAAGAAAAGAAAAAGAACCACATATATACATGGAACAAACGCTTATTCCCCCTCCTCCCTCAACCCATTCAACTCCCTCACCCTCCTCTTCTCCATCTCCACATCCTCAAACAAAAACTCGCCCTCCCTCCTAGCCCACCTCTCAAACCCGCCCATACTCCTCATCCTCTCCCTCGCACTCAACCCATCATCGTTAGTCTTGGCCTCCAAATCCGCGCCATGCCGTACGAGCACCTCAAACGCATTGACCCAGCACCTCTCAATCGCCCTGTGTACAGGTGTCCAGCCGTTTGGTTCCGCGTGATTTACGTTGGCGCCGTGGTCGAGGAGTAAGAGAGCGATGTGGGGGTTTGAGGCGTAGGATAAGGGTGTTTTGCCGTATTTGTCGGTGCAGTTTGGGGAGGCGGATTTGGAGAGGAGGAGGGAGGTGGCGGGGAGGTTGTGGTGGAGGGAGGCGAGGTGGAGTGGGGTGCGGAGGTGGGAGTCGCGGGGGGTGATGTCGACGGAGGGGTGGTTGAGCAGGATTAAGGCTGGGTCGCCATAGTGGGAGTCGCGGCGGCCCATGTTGTGTGGGCGTTGGAGGGCAATGTGGAGGGGGGTCGCGCCGGTTAGGGGGTTGGCGTCGTTGATGTGGGCGCCGTGGGAGAGGAGGGCGGGGACGATGGTAGGGGAGGGTGCATTGCATGCGACTGCTAGGGGACTCTGGCCTTCGATATTGAGGGTGTTGATTTCGTTGATTGAGTCTGGGTCTGCAAGGATTCGGTCTGTGACGCGGTGCATGCTGTAGTAGGCTGCATCATGCAGTGTTGTGTCCTTTCCGTTGTGTGAACAGTGGCCGGTGGGTGCTGCGCCGTGGTCGAGCAGGCACAGTGCTGCTTCTTCGTGGAATCCTCCCGTTGCTATCATTAGAGGCGTATGTCCCTCGTTGTCTTTGGCTTCGATATCCAATTTGCCTTTTCCTGCAACGTCCAGATTGAGGAGGTACTCGAGTACTGCTGTACGACTTTTGGCAGCAGCGAAATGCGGTGCTGAACGGCCATCAACGGCGAAATGCAGTGCTGAACGGCCATTGATGGTGACAGCAAATGCATCAGCACCTCGCGAGACCAGAAATTCAAGTACCCCTGGCTCCGATCTACAAGCCATGAGAAAAGGTGTCACGCCGTGTTTGTTCTTGGCGTTGATATCAGCACCTTTCTGCAGGAGCTTGTCTATCAGCTCAGGCTCATTGTATCCAGCATGCATGAGCGTACAACCGTCTTCGGAGCGGTCCTCGTTGACGTCCGATATTGAGTCTAGCATTCGGAATGCTAGTTCCTTGGCCAATCCATCTTCCCAACGTTCAAATCTACGCAGTACGTTGACGAAAATAGTAGAGCTTATATCTTCGCCTTCCATGAGCCTACACTTTCCTGTCGCAAGTAACATATCAACGATCGAAGTGTCCTTTTTCGGATCACCAGACAGCTGAAGTACAGCCTGATGTAGCGGCGTGATCATTTCGTTCTCAGCGTCCTTTGAGGGCAAAGCCGGATCAGCACCGGAATCAAGAAGGATACGCAAAAGGTCTTTGTTGTTACAGCCTACTGCGACATGGAGTGGCGTATCCCCGTTGAAGACAGTCGTATTTGGATCAACACCCAGTCTGAGCAGCTCAGCTACTATACCGAGTTCTCCGTTATATAGTGCAAACTGCAACAGTTTGAATATTGCCATTGGTTTAACGAGCTCTCCGCCTTGGTCGAGCACCCATTCTATCCAGTCCCATTTCCCCGCCGGGGTATCATTGGTGTTGATATGCGGGAACATTAGTGAGACAGTTGTTATCAGAGGTCTCATTCCAGCAGCGCAGTTTACAACAGCGATTTGGAGTGCTACACTGTCCTTTGGGTAGTCTGGCCCACCGATCGCCTCGAGCAATGTCTTCGCAGTGTTGAGACGGCCTTTCTTCAGAGTGGCATCGATTAGAGTCACCCCGTCATTCGAGGTAACTGAAAGATCCGCTCCGTGTTTTATCAGTGTCTTGAGTACTTTGTCATATCCTAAGACTGCTGCCCATACGGCCGGGGTGGACTTTCTCGGTTCGGTGCTCAACGCGTTGACGTCTGCACCCTTTTCAATCAACAACTCTACCATCTCCAAATGATTCGAGTTGCTGGCAATTGATAGAGCGGCTAGTGGTGTTAGACAGGTCCAGCAGTAGTTCAGAACAGTTTCTAGACCTACTCAAGTCCTCTTCATCTCGATCTTCAAGTCTGCTGCCCTCTTCTATCAAGTATCTCGCAGTCTCTACATGCCCACAACTCGCAGCCCACATCAACGCAGTGCCGTCGTTCCCACTGCGTGCATGGAGATCTGCACCCTTTGCAAGGAGTAGTTTGACAACCGTCGTGTGTCCGTTCTCTGCAGCAAGAACAAGAGCAGTTTTTCCCCTTTTGCATCTCTGGTCAACATCTAGTCCCTTGTCGATAAGGAAATCAACAGCATGAACCATGCCCTCAACAGCCGCCCAATGTAAGGCGGTCATGTTTGCAGGCCCTGTAATAACCTGTACATCAGCGCCATGGTCAATGAGCAGCTGAATGAGGCGAGGCGCAAGTTCTGATGCCTGAACTGCGTGGAATATTGGGAGTATGTTACGGACTGGGCTGTCCACATCGCTACCCCTTTCCAGCAGGAGCTGTACAATGTCAGCGTGGCGTCTTTGAATGGCAATAACTAGTGGTGTGATTGCATCGTCTGTTTGGCGTTCAATGTCCACACCAGCGTCTAGCATAGCCTTCACTGTCTCGATATCCCCGTGTGCAATAGCAGAGTAGAATCTGTCGTAGTCGAGGAATAATTGGCGCAACGATTCAGGCGTGGAGGAACGTCCTTCTGATTCAGCTTCGGCATCCATATTAGGCGGTGCTGAAGATTGATGTCCTAATTGAGGCAATTCAATTTCGTGTTGGTCATGCTCCATACTGGCTGTACGAGAGAAAGTCAGGATGTAACGCGTTGGCGTCGCATCGAAAGGAAGTTATTACCGCCGACATATTCGCTAGGCAGCAACGTCGCCAACGACAGGCAGCATTAGAGTACCAGCGAGATGCACTCAGCTGGATGTTATTAGTTGGTCACTATTGCTGGGCGTAAGCGCTGCTCACTTCAGCTGAAAAGCTGCCCCTCATGCTCGCGGCCCCTCCTTCACTGCATCATCTGCACAGCAAGTGGGGCAGTTGTGGCGCAATCAACCTAACGGTGCGTTGGGCAGCAAAGCCTCACCAGATGTGGGTATTATGAAACTAGCATTACTTGTGTGAAATCCATTCACACCGTGTTTAGCAACCTGCGCGCCAGTTTTTTGTTCTTTTTGGAATCACAAGGTGGGTCGTCGTGACTTGTGGCGTCATACAAGCACCGCCTTATCCGTGTGACGGCGTGGCGCATAAGTGGTCAGCACTTTCCAACTGTCACTCGACTTATCTACAAGTTCTTCTTCCTCCTACACCTACCTTTTCCCTTTGTCATTCTAGCAAAAATGGGTGTCTCATCCAAATACTTGCTGCTCGTCGCCCTTGCGATCCTGGTCCTGCTGCCATCCAGCGTCGATGCCTTTGGCGCCGGCAATATCGCTTCCATCTCCAAAATTGAGGGGAAAAACTGGCGCCATGGAGATATTGAGGATATGCTTGCGACCGTCGCTTGCTTGAAGGGACACAAGTGGAAGAGTCAAATGATCAAGGTCGGAGCAAGCCCGCATGTCACACCCACTGCAAATACTGACATTAGGCGCAGCGTGTGTACTTTGGTAACTGGTTACGCGATTACTCACAGGTAAGTTGGCAAGGTCACGAAAATAAAACGGATGTGCTAACTCCTTCAGGCTGTTGATGTTGGTACATTGGCCAAAGTCCAGGTGCGCCGGAAAAGTATAATCGTAATACATGACAGCATGTTGACGATAATTAGGGAGAAACTATCCGTGTTCTGGTTTGGGTTCTGTCTTTCATGTCATTCGGCTATGCGACTGGAGAATTTGAGGTCACAGCCGAGAGATTAGGCGTCTACAGACCCGAAGAACACATCGGTAAGCGAAGCCAGCCCAGTCACAAGTATACATGCTAACAACGAGACAGACAATCCCGTAAGCCTATACAAGACACAAACAAGTTCTTACTGATTCTAATATTGTCACAGAAAGACTATGCTGATAATGAGGATGCTCGCAAATATGATCCACGTCTTCGTGGCCCGGTATCAGAAATTGAGCTTGCCGTTGATCCTGAGACGGGAATGAAAAATTACATTGCTAATGAGCGGGGTAACTGGGCGACATCTTCGGGATATGTAAAATATTCATTTGCGCGGGCCATCCACTTTGGTCGTTTATACACCCACGGCCCTGAAGGTCAGAGAGGACGAGACGAGGACCTAGCAGAAGCGCTTCGTTGTCTTGGCCAAGGACTACACTGCCTCGAAGATTACGGCGCTCACACAAACTACACGGAGCTGGTATTGCGGGAACTTGGATACACCAACGTATTCCCTCATACTGGCGTACAGACTGCCATCAATCTCAACGGAAAGCACACCTACCCGCTTGTCACAGGCACTTTTGGCGGT